TCAGGTAGACCCCCCTGCGCCTGCGCCTGTTGAGGTCACTGGTGACTCCGGTCCTGCTGCGAGTGGTGCTGTCCCTGGGGGTGCGGAGCTTGGGGGTGCTGAGTCTGGGGGCGCTGGGCGTGTGGAGCCTGGAGGTGCTGAGCCTGCGCGTGAGGAGCCTGGAGGTGCTGCGTCTCGGGGTACTGCGTCTGGAGGTGCTGCGTCTGGGGGTGTTGAGCCTGTGTGTGCGGAGCCTACGGGTGCTGAGTCTGGGGGTGAGTCGCCTGAGGGTTCTGAGACTGCTGTTACGCAGTCTCCTTGGAGTAGCCATCTTCGTCCGCGTGTGCCCCTCACCTCCTAGCAGCTGCACGACTGGTACGGTCGCCGTCAGCGTCCCACTTCTGCACCTCAGGGCTCTCCTGCTGGAGGTTCTTCTGCTGGTGTCGCTGGTCCCGGAGGTGCTCGTACTGGGAGTACTGGAGCTGCTCGGGCTGGTGGTGGTGCTGCTGGAGGTACTGGAGCTACTGGCGGTGCTGGAGCTGCTTAGGGTACTGGAGCTGCTGGAGGTGCTGGAGCTGCTGGAGGTGCTGGAGCTGCTGGGGGTGCTGGAGCTGCTAGAGGTGCTGGAGCTGCTGGAGGTGCTGGAGCTGTTGGGGGTGCTGGAGCTGCTAGAGGTGCTGGAGCTGCTGGAGGGGCTGGTGCTGCTCGTGCTGGTGGCACTGCTCAGCCGTGCCTGTTCTTTGCTCCGCCGTCTCCGTCGTCTCAGCCACCACCTGACTCTGCACTTCGCCAGGTTCTCAGTCTTCCCTCGTCTACTGGTCTTCCGTTACAGCCTGGCTCACCGCTGCCTGCTCCTTCTCCGTACACAGAGCAGCCTGGTGGCCTTGCAGATCGTCGTGAGCCTGCGTCGCGTCCTGTCTCCCCTGTCAGTTCCGGTCGTCGTGTTCCTCGTCAGAGCCAGCCGGCTGTCTCCGGCCCTCCCCTTGTAGTTCGTCGTCCTTCCTCTCCTTCACCGCGTGTTCCTCTGCCGCCTCCCCCTGCGTCCTCACTGTGTTGCTGACCCTGCGTCTGACCGGTTTCGTGCTGAGCACTCTACTGTCAGGCGTCTGCTTGCCACTGTTGTCACTGACCCGTCGTTTGAGTCTGCTGCTGCGTCTGCCTTAATCACTGAGCTTGTTGCCTTTGCTGCTCACTGTCGTCTAGACTACGCCGCCAGTCTTGTTGCTGAGTCTGCGTCTGTCTGTCCTCCGTCCGTCGGGGGTGAGTGTGCTCTTGGCACGGACGTCCTCGAGGACAGGCAGGAGGACCTTGAGTGTCTTGCAGCCGCTGCGCCTCATCTCGTATCCATGCTGCTTGCCCCTGAGGGAGACCTGGATGCACCAGACATCCCTACCCCGTGCTCTTACGCTGAGGCGATCGCGGGTGAGTACTCCTCTCAGTGGCAGACAGCCATGGATGCAGAGATGGCATCCTGGAAGTCCACAGGCACCTACGTCGACGAGGTTCCCCCTCCTGGGGCGAACATTGTCAGTGGCATGTGGATTTTCAGGGTGAAGCGGCCGCCAGGTTCTCTGCCTGTCTTCAAGGCTTGTTACGTGGCTCGAGGCTTCAGTCAGCGAGAGGGAGTTGACTTCTTCCAGACCTTCTCCCCCACCCCGAAGATGACCACTCTTCGGGTGCTGCTGCACGTTGCCGCTCAGCGTGACTACGAGCTTCACTCTCTTGACTTCAGCACAGCCTTCTTACAGGGCAGCCTGCACGAGGAGATTTGGCTGCGCCGCCCTCCTGGCTTCACTGGGTCGTTCCCTCCTGGTACCCAGTGGAGCCTCCGGCGGCCGGTCTACGGTCTCCGCCAGGCGCCACGTGAGTGGCACGACACACTGAGGACGACACTTGCGGCTCTTGGGTTTGCTCCGTCGACTGCTGACCCGTCGCTGTTTTTGCGCACCGACACTTCGCTGCCGCCGTTCTACGTTCTCGTGTACGTCGACGACTTGGTCTTTGCCACTGCTGACACTGAGGCTCTCGCCCTGGTGAAGTTGGAGCTGCAGAAGAGACACACGTGCACAGACCTGGGTGAACTGCGCAGCTACCTTGGCTTGCAGATCACCCGGGACAGAGCACGCCGCACCATCACACTGACTCAGTCACACATGGTGCAGCAGGTCCTTCAGCGCTTCGGTTTCACCTGGTCCTCAGCACAGGCCACTCCTCTGGCTACAAGTCACTCGCTCTCAGCTCCACCTTCGGACGAGTCCGTAGAGCCGAGTGGTCCTTACCCAGAGTTAGTAGGCTGCCTCATGTACCTGATGACTTGCACTCGTCCTGACCTTGCGTACCCTCTTGGCCTTCTGGCTCGCTACGTGGCTCCTGGTCGGCACCGAAAGGTGCACATGGATGCTGCCAAGAGGGTACTACGCTACTTGTGCAATACATCGGGCATGGAGCTCGTTCTTGGAGGACGGGGTGACGTTGTCCTCACAGGTCACTCGGACGCCTCTTGGGTTGACGACCAGGCTACGCAGCGGTCGTCACAGGGTTACACCTTCATCCTTGGTTCTGGTTCAGTTTCCTGGCGTTCTACACGTTCGTCTTCAGTTCTCGGCTCCAGCTGTGAGGCAGAGATCTACGCTGGGGCCATGGCTGCACAGGAGCTGCGCTGGCTCACCTACCTGCTGACCGACTTGGGAGAGCGGCCTCGTTCTCTTCCAGTTCTGTACGTCGACAACAAGGCCGCCATTGCCTTGTGTTAGGAGCACAGACTGGAGCACAGAACAAAGCACATCGCTCTCCGTTACTTTCTTGCTCGAGAGCTGCAGCAGCGTGGCCAGCTTCGTCTTACCTACGTGGCCACTCGGGCCAACATTGCTGATATATTCACCAAGGCGCTTCCGCCTGGTGATCATCAGCGTTTCTGCACTTTGTTAGGCCTTGTGCCCACGCTTCCTCACTTGTTGTAGGCTTTGTTTGTACCATGATTTATATGTATTCCTGGATGCTTGTTCTTGTAGGTAGATATCACTGTACTGTTGTTGTTACATATATATTTCTGCATGTGAACTGGCCTTGTGGCCTTCTTGCTTGTGCTCAGACTGCGTGGTGACGTTGTGATCCACCCTGAGCTTGCTTTGCACTTCCTGACTGGTCTTGTGACCCTCTGTTCCCTCCACTTTGCCTCTGGGGGTGTGTCAAACATATGTACATATATGTTATAGTTTGGGTAGGCTTAGTGGGGTACTCACTGTGGGGTACAACCCCTTAGGTTTCTCCTTTGTACCAACCCTCTCGATAGTTGACACAACTTTTGCCTAGGATTCTAACAACAAGTAGGAAACCTAAAAGTGTTGTACCCTATAAGAACTACTCCACTACAGCCTAAACAGACTATAGCATATAAGTTTGACACAGTGTAGGTATATTTTTTACCCTGATTGTACTCTAGGCAGCTCAGTATGTGCTGGCAGCAACCAAGCTTCCCGGGGGGAACGTGTGTTTAAGGATCTCGAGTCCCAAATTTCCGAGTCTAGAAAGTTAAAGTTTTTGCAGTGAGTGCAGCTTCGACCAATCAGGTTGTGTCACCTCTACAGTAACGGCTAGGTTGCAAGCAGACACGGAGTAGTGCTGACGTCGTAGTGCATCATTACGAAATTGGATGTATCGTTACGAAATTTCTATAAAAATTCGTCTCGACAAGTAGAGTTTCCGAAGAGGGGGGGGTGGGGGTGGGGAGAGGGTGGTTCCCTATACGCTCTTCCGGGTAATCTTCGCTAAGGGAAAAAATACCCAAGAGCATCAGTGTAGCCTGAATCGTTATCAGTGTAACACTAATCCTCCCAAAAAATACCCAAACCCTTCAGTGCAGGCCCTAAATTTCACCCTTCTAATCAGTATTACACTGATAACGAGAGCCCTGGGTACAACACAATTAGGGTTAGTACTTGTACCCAACTGTTTGCTAGTTCATTCATTCTCGTTCTTAAATTCAGCATGATGTTCCTTGTGTGAACACTATTTTGGTGTCGAGAGAAAGCTCTTAGTAGATCCCAAAAAAATGTTACCAGCTCATTTAGTTCCCCCCCAAAAAAAAAAGTAATCAGAAAGCTCTTGTGTCATTTAGTTGGCGCATGCGCTTAAAAAAGGAAACTTGATTAGAACCCTTGAATAGCTGATGGATACCCTCACTACACGAAGTCGATGCCACATGGCAGAGAAGCTGAATGCCACGCTGTTCCCAACTGTGATGGGGTTCGATACTCTCCACCGTCAGATCCACCTTGCTTAATTCCCAGGAGATCAAAACGCGGCATGCCCAAGGCCCTCCATCATCATCACCTCTCTCGTCTCCCCAAACTCATTCCCGCGTGGTACTGGGGACCATTTGCAATGACCTGCGTGACAAAAACTTTGTGAATGGCTGAGCGAATTGTCGGCGAGTCAGGGGTGTAACATGCGACCCAAAAACGAGAAGGGGCGAAAATTATAACCCCGCATTGTGCGAGTTTCGCTAATCCGGAAGCGGGCGGGCCGATTGTTGAAACAGTTCTCGGGGTCGTGTACCTACCTCCATGTCCACAACTGCTTTATGGGATTGCACTGGGGTTCAAATCCACAGGAATCCGTAGATGGTCCGCGCTGGTCCGCGCTGGTCCAACTGGGCCGCGCTAAGCCGCTGCTGCCAAGAAGTTTTTGGGCAAACACTACCTGAAATGATCAGCTGGCATGCAAAACCATTTCACAAGCAGCAGTTTCTTTCTTCACGCCAAATCCCATTCAGTTTTTGTAGCTGAAGCTTGAGCGTGCTGTTAGATTATTTTGTGAGGACAGGAGAGCTCAGAGATTCCGGTCTTGACGTGCGAGGCTTTTGCTTAGTAACTTTGAGCTTCCTTTGTGCATATTTGTCAGTCACAATGGCGGCCCAAACTGTCGTCTCCTCGTCGCTCGCTTCGCCAGCATTCGCCGTCGCGAATGTCTCTTCGCAACAAAATGTTAAATCGCGTCTGAGCCTAGTGGCACGTCCGGTTATGCGGATTAACCGGCAGACGGCCGTCAGCCGGTGCCGGCTGTCAACTCTGACGGTGCGAGCCGCGTCTGACGGTCAAGCGGCAGCGGAGACGGCTGAACCACAGTCGGCGTCGTTCGAAGCGTCGCTCGTGAGCAAGAACAGCGTCGTGGTGCCTGACTCGGAACTGAGCATCACCAAGGTACGCGTTAAATAGCGAGAGGAGGATCAAAGAATGTACACGTTGTATGCGACACGAACCAATGTACGCGTAATAAGAAAGCAGAGGAACCACGATACGCATTGCGGTTGTCCAGTAGCAAGTCAGAGTCATTTAGGTCAACGACTTTCTGCCCGACTAAGCGTCAGCTATGTACGCGTTGTAAGCAAGCGGAGCGACACCAGTGCACGGGTAACAAGCCAGCTACGCAATCAATATACTCGACAATGAGGTCAACAGCACGGTAGGCACAGTGCACTGACCCACTATAGGTCGCGTCCATAACACAGGAACAATACTGCGTGCCCAAGCTCATCAACGTCAAGCTACATATAGCACTGGGCCAATTAGATTCCGTCCTTAGCAAAGTTACCCGAGCTGGGCATCAGCAAATGCTCCACTGGTTACCGAGTGCTGCGATTTAAACTGAAACATGAGACGCCTTTGAGGCGATTCATGTCAGCAGCTGAAACGCAGCTACGCAGAACTAGGTACGTACCTTGATTATGCAATATCGAATCAGTTTCTGTTATTGAGGGCGAACTATGGTACGCGATTGATACTCAATTGAAGACGAACCAAACTGTGTGTTTGAAGGCGAGTAGCGATTCGCGATTGAAGGAAAAGTAAAGCGCGTGACTGAAAGCTAGTAAGGTACGAATGAGGCTGTGTAAAGCGTGGAGAGGTTATGCTCCCTTCCCTTTTTTCTCTCACCCCTCTCTCAAATCCCCCTTCTCTCTTCGCTCTCCCCTCTCTTCCTCCTCTCCCTTCTCTTCCATTTTCCATTGTCCCCTCCCTTCTCCCCAGACGTCTTTCGGCACCGTTGGCCTGACAGGGGGTTCTGCTGCTCACCCAGGCTTTCTAACCACCTGCACACAACGCGCCTGCTCATTTCACTCGTCATCCGTCTCTCCCCCTCCCCCTCTCTCCCCCTCTCCCCTCTGTCACTTCTATCCAGACGTCTTTCGGCACCATCGGCCTGACGGTGGGGCTGCTGCTGCTGTCGTACGGCTTTGGCGCCTACTTCCAGTTCCTGCCGGGCTCCGAGTCCTCCGCCCTCATGCTCACCTACGGCTTCCCCACTGCGCTCATCGGATTCGCTCTCAAGGTACGAGCTCAATTCAATGTATGATCTAGTATATAACAGTTGTGATATTATTCGTGCTGGTTGATTGGCGGGGCATTCAAAGGGCTCCAAGTGGCCCTCCGTCATTCGCCCGTGGCTTCCATGTTTTGAGTCGACTCAAAAAGACTCCAAGTCGTCTGTCCTCATACTCACCCATTTCTTCCGGCTCGCAATGATTCATTACATATGTATCTTCTATCCTCGTCCATTTGTTTCAACATGCACCTGGTACATGCATGGGGTTGAAAGCGGTTCCATGCTCACTGTGCATGGCGCCCTGGTCATCATAGACCGTCTTGTACTGGAACCCGCTACACGCCCCCGTCTCAGCATCATCAGTCTGACTGAACTTATGCCTCTGTTCCTCCCCATGTGGCTTGTGCAGTATGTGGAGCTGCTTTTCAGTCGAATCAAAAGCATCATTAGCCTAATTGAACTCTTATGCATCCATGCCTCCCCTCCCCATGTGCAGTATGCGGAGCTCAAGCCAGTGCCATGCACATCGCATGTGGATGCTGTGACTACATTTGAGGGGCATCAAAAGTTGAACTTATGCCTCCATCCATTCCTCCCCTCCCCACGTGCAGTATGCGGAGCTCAAGCCGGTGCCATGCACATCGTATGCCGACGCTGTTGCTCTGCGGGAGGCACAGGCCACGCCCATCCTGCAGCAGGTGAGGGGGAAGTGTGCTGAGTGTGGGGTGGGTGGGCCCCTCAAATGTGGGGTGGGTGCGTGGCTCATCGTGTGGCATTGAACCGAAGCCATTGCCATGCACATCGTATGCTGATGCTGTGGCTCTGAGGGAGACACAGGCCACGCCCATCCTGCAGCAGGCGAGGGATGCGTGTGCTGAATGTGGCCCCTTCAGCTGCGGATGCTAGGCGTGGTGGTGGATGTCAGTGACTAGAGTGGGTGGCTCTCTGAGGGAGACACTGGCCACGCCACGCCCATCTTTCAGCAAGTGAGGGATGAATGCGCTGAATGTGAGCCCATGTGCTGTGGGCCGCTTGGTTGGGTGTGGGTCGGTCGTTGACCAGTGTGCCTCTGAGGAAGACACAAGCCACGACCACTGTGTGCTGCTTGATGAGCAGGTAATGTTAACGGTCATGCCTAACCAAGGTGCACCGTGCCATCTCTCAGGTCCACGCCTGGAGGAGGCTTTCATTCAAGTCATGATAAGTGTTTCATCTCCTCCCTCCACCCATCCATCTGCACCATGTGTGCAGCGACATAACGCGGTTCCATCAGTGCCATCTGCTACGGAGATGAGAAGCATCTGGAGGAAGCTGCTGGTTGCTTAGTCAGATATTTCTCTCATTCCATCTTCTCACCCACGCCTCCCTCCTCCTGTCTGCCTCCCAGGTACGCAGTGATGTCACGCGGTTCCGCTATGGAGACGAGCAACATCTGGAGGAGGCCCTGAAGAGAATATTCCGCTACAACCTGGTGAGATAGTAGTTTGCTACAACCTCGTGAGATAATGGTTTGCAGCAACCTGGTGACAGTCGAATTGGCCTTGAAAGACGAGGTCCTCAAGAGAATACTCTGCTACAACCTTGTTGAAGAGTCCGATCCTCCTCCCAAAATTTATCTGAATGCTACTTCCCATCCCAGCTAAATGCCCTCCTGTCCTTGCTTTGCGACGTGACACAAGCGCTTCTCTTTAGCCCTACTCTGGATCCGAGTATTTGTGTATTTTCTTTCCCAAGTGCTAGCTCCGCACTCATCACTACTATTTCCACAAACTCTCTCCCTATCTTCCTAAATAGAGGCGTCTACGAAAACTGATTTTCCTCCCTGACCCCTACACCTGTACTGCCCCTCTCCCCCCCCCTTCCTGCTGCCTTTCCTCCTCTCTTGATATCTGGCTAACGCGTGTCAATCGGAAGGCATATTTTCAACCCGTTTTGTGCATCCCGTCCACCCTTCCTTTCCCCTTCTGCCCTCCCCTCCCCTTCCCTCCCTTCCGCTCGACTCACCCAACTCACCTACGCATGGCAGTCGGGAGGCATTCAGCGCAGAAACGCACCTACACTTACCTCGATCAGCGAGCAGGTGAGAAAATAAGCAACCACATTTTTCATTACAACTAAACCGCTGAGATATGAAGGCATTGTGGAGTGTAACTCCCGTGTGTTTGTGGTGCGCTGCTGAGTATCAATGCGGTAAAGACTCTTTCTCCCATGACTGTAACCCCTCTTTTGCCCGTCTTGCCCGTCTTTGGCCCCTGCGGTACTCCCTATCTTGCCCATCTATGAGGCCCCATTTTTCTCTAAACCGCACTTCTGTATATTCTCCAAATCTCCCTCCCTTCCAGGTGTATAACGGACAGTACTCCCTGGTGCTTATCTTCGAGGCCCCGGCTCTCTCGAAAACGGATTTCATGGAGAGGCAGGCCAAGTTCACATCCTTCTTTGGGCCGGGCGTTCAGGCTTTGATTGGTAAGCCGGGGAGGCTACGTCTGCTGGTTGATTGATTGATGATGCTGTCTGTTGCACGTGGTATTGCCTTGGTTACTGGTGGCAGGTCAATACGATTTCCTTTTTGGACTGGGCGAGCAGGCGTTGATTGGTGAGGGAGGGGAGTTAAAGGGAGGGAGGTAGAGGTAGGGCGCACAAGAGTGGGATTCAGCTGGGGCTGATGGCTGTGGCGTCCGTTCCACATGGTGTCAGCCCGAGGTGGCGTCCGTTCCACATGGTGTCAGCCCGAGGTGGCGTCCTTCTTTGGGGCGGACATGCATGCTTTGATTGGTGAAGGGGGGAGGTGAATGGAGGGAGGTGAATGGAGGGAGGTGAATGGAGGGAGGTGAATGGAGGGAGGTGAATGGAGGGAGGTGAATGGAGGGAGGTGAATGGAGGGAGGTGAATGGAGGGAGGTGAATGGAGGGAGGTGAATGGAGGGAGGTGAATGGAGGGAGGTGAATGGAGGGAGGTGAATGGAGGGAGGTGAATGGAGGGAGGTGAATGGAGGGAGGTGAATGGAGGGAGGTGAATGGAGGGAGGTGAATGGAGGGAGGTGAATGGAGGGAGGTGAATGGAGGGAGGTGAATGGAGGGAGGTGAATGGAGGGAGGTGAATGGAGGGAGGTGAATGGAGGGAGGTGAATGGAGGGAGGTGAATGGAGGGAGGTGAATGGAGGGAGGTGAATGGAGGGAGGTGAATGGAGGGAGGTGAATGGAGGGAGGTGAATGGAGGGAGGTGAATGGAGGGAGGTGAATGGAGGGAGGTGAATGGAGGGAGGTGAATGGAGGGAGGTGAATGGAGGGAGGTGAATGGAGGGAGGTGAATGGAGGGAGGTGAATGGAGGGAGGTGAATGGAGGGAGGTGAATGGAGGGAGGTGAATGGAGGGAGGTAGAGGTAGGTTGCAGAAGGGTGGTGTACAGCTGAAGCTTGATAGCTGCTTCCTTTTAGTCCCGCGCACTCTTTCCTTTTAGTCCCTCTCACTCTTTACTTGTAGTCCCTCTCACTCTTTTCTTGGAGTCCCTCGCACCCTTTCCTTTTATTCCCTTGCACTCTTTCGTTTTCATTCCCTCGCACTCTTTCCTTTTAGTCCGTCGCACTCTTTCCTTTTATTGCCTTTCTTGCGCACTTTCTCTTATTCACTCCCTCACTCACTTCCCCACTCCCTTCCTCTCCCCCTCTTACTCCTTTCCCCTCACTGCTTGCGTCCCTCCTCCCATTGATGCCCCCACTTTTTTCCCACTCCAACACCAATGCTACTTTACCATCCCCGCTTCTTTTCCCACCTCGCTCTGTTCCCTGCTGCCCCCTTACCTCTGCCTCCCCATCTTCCCGATCCCCTCTTTTCTCCATTCCCTTCCCCCCCCCCCCCCCTCCACCCTCTTCCTCCCTTTTCCTCCCCCTCCCTCCCTCCTGCGCATCACAGAGGAGGTGGGACCCAAGACCTTTGCCGTGCGCCTGGTGTCAACTTAAGCTGGCAAAAGTCACTTGGTAATCGCACCTAAGTTGTGAGCTGGCAAGGCAAACCCTAAGCCACTGAAGGGATGGGTGTGGCTGAGGCCTGGTCGAGGGCAGTGCCTCATGTTCATGGTCATGGGACAATGCAGCGAATACCAGGGCATACTAGTTAGACTCAAGTTCAAATGCTGCATTCCATAAAAAAATGTGAACTTCTGCAAAATTCAAATCACACACGCTCTTAGAATTTCGAATCCATTTGACAAGGCGGAAAAAATACTAGTGATCCAATCAACTCACCCGAATGTCGCGAAAATCCCTAGTTTCGCCGAGACACTCTCGAAGTGTTGAGAATCTGCCAAATCATGACAGGTCGCCCAGCGTGGCGGTTTGGGAGTTGAAAATGAGTCGCACTGGCGAAGTTTTCGGTCGACCGATGTCGACCAGAGACCTGTTCGGTGCAAAGCATGCCCTTAGACCGCGAGCGTGCCCCTCTCCCCTCCCCTCCCAACAATACCAATCCCCTTCGTTCCCCTAGCATGCTCTGCTCTCTAGAGGAGATCTAGCTCGAATACTTAGTATTTTTACGCATGTAGGCTCAGAGCAGGAAATAGAGATAGCCTGAATTGAAGGGCCGGCTTCGTCCGTATCCCGGATATTTCAGGGTTTGTTTCGGGCCAGCTCAGCCTCGTACGGGTTGGACCCACACCAATCGACAGCGCTGTTCCCCACCCCCTCCCAATTACCTCTCACCTCCACGCACCCACCGGGCCATCTCTCTCTCACACGCTCCCCCTTCACTGGGATCTACCGCGCTAAACCCCTTCACTGGGATCTACCACGCTAAACCCCGTCCCCCGCCGTCCCCCCCCCGCCCCTCAGCTCCCCAAACTCCGCCCAGCCCAGTCCGCCAGCTTCCGTGGCGGCATGGAGGTGGCGGGCCCGCGGCGGGCAGGCGTTCGGCGAGTGGAGGAGGGGGAGCGCGTGGTGGTGTACGAGGCGCGGGACGCCATGCGCATCGCCACCGTCACGCCCACCCGCTCCCTGCAGAACCGGTCAGACCCACGGTGGCGCGCGAAGGAGGGGGGGGGTGGCGCGCGAAGGAGGGGGGGGGGTGGCGCGCGAAGGAGGGGGGGGGGGGTGGCGCGCGGGAGGGTGGCGCGTGGGAGGGTGGCGCGCGGGAGGTTGGCGCGCGGGAGGTTGGCGCGCGGGAGGGTGGCGCGCGGGAGGTTGGCGCGCGGGAGGGTGGCGCGCGGGAGGGTGGTGCGCGGGAGGGTGGTGCAAGGGAGGGTGGCGCATTTGGGGGTGGCGCATGTGGGGGTGGCGCACGTGGGGGTGGCGCGAGGGAGGGTGGTGCAGGAGCGGTGAGACATGGCTGTGGGGCAAAGGGCAGTTGGCGGGGCCTGTGTGAGGCAGCTTAGTGGGGATGCGTGATGGCCGCAGGGCGGAGTGGGATGAGGGGCACACCTGTGTTCCCAATACTCTGCTTTTTGAACGCACTCTTTCTCCATGCAATAATTTCCCCACTCGGCGTTGGCCTGAGCCCTCTCGACTCCATTTCCCCCCTTCCCCCCACCCTCCCTCCCCACCCTTTCGCCCATTTTCCCCCTCCCCCCCACCCGCCCCCACCCTCCCTCTCCCCCCTTTCGCACCAGCTTTGGAGTGTTCCGGCACAGCGAGTGGGTGGGGCAGCCGGTGGGGTCGCGGGTGCGGGCGGTTAAGGGAGGCGGCTTCGTGCACCTGCTTGCACCCTCGCCTGCCCTCTGGACCAAGGTGAGGTGCGGTGAGGGGTGGTGAGGTGAGGTGAGGTGAGGTGAGGTGAGTTGTGGTGAGGTGAGGCGGGGTGGCGAGTAGGTGGCGTGGAGCATGTGCGAGCAGGTTCAGTTGAATTGGGTGCTAGGATTCCAGTAGTGCGCCCACCACAGCAGCACACCCACTGCATCGCCCACCACAGCACACCCACTGCGTCACACCTCACCTGCCGCCCACTTGCCTCGTTCCACCACTTCCCACCGTCAACTTCCTCACCCTTCCCCCCATACATCACCCTCCCCTCTCCCCCTCCCTCTCGCTGCCCCCCAACCAGGTGCTACCGCACCGCACGCAGATCCTCTACCTGCAGCTTGCTTGCCTCGTTCCACCACCTCCCACCGTCAACTTCCTCACCCTCCCCCCCATACAACACCCCCCCCATTCCCCCCCCCACCCCACCAGGTGCTACCGCACCGCACGCAGATCCTGTACCTGCCGGACATCGCTCTCATCATCGCCCGCCTTGCCGTGACCCCTGGCGCCACGGTGCTGGAGAGCGGCACCGGCAGCGGCAGCCTCTCTCACTCCCTCGCGCGCGCCGTGGCGCCCACCGGCCGCCTGCTCTCCTTCGACTTCCACCACGCCCGTGCGGAGCAGGCGAGGTGAGCAGGCGAGGTGAGCAGGCGGTGAGTGGGAGGGAGGGTGAGGCGGCATGCGTGGCGGCAGCTGCCATGCTTCCTCATGCTGCAGGGAGCAGGTGCGCGCAGCACATGGCAGGGGCGCGCAGCACATGGCAGGGGCGGATGATGAGGAGAGGGGTGCGTGCCACATGGCATGGGCAGGCCGGGGAGAGCCGGAGAGGAGGTGAGGGGGATGAGGGAAATGCGAGTGTCTGGCGAGCTCCCCTTTCCTCTGACCACCCGCGTGGTGCCCCCCGCCATGTGCAGGGCGGAGTTTGAAGCCAACGGCATAGCGGGTGTGGCCAGTGTGCAGGTCAGGGACATCCAGGGCCACGGCTTTCCCCCTCACCTGCACGCCTCCGCGCACGCCACCTTCCTCGACCTGCCCAGCCCCTGGCTCGCTCTGCCCTCCGCCGCCGCGTGCCTGCTGCCGGGCGGGCGGCTGTGCTCCTTCTCGCCGTGCATGGAGCAGGTGCAGCGCTGCTCCCACGCCATGCGCGCCCACGGCCTCACCGGTGCGTCTCCAGCCCACCACACGCCGCTCTTCCTCGCATTCCCCTCTCTTGCACTGCACCCTTCCACCAACCACTGCTCGCTGCTGGCATCTTTCCATTCCATGCCTCGCTCGTTGCTCCACCTCCCCGTCTGCTCATCTCCCCTCCTCCTTGATCGCTGCTCCCTCCCTACCATGCTCCACATGCCGCCAGACATTCGCACCGTGGAGCTGCTCAGCCGAAGCTACGAGGTGCGGGAGGAAGTCCTCACCGTGCCAAACCTGAAGCCAGCGTCACAAGCTACGAGCCTTGAGCCGCCAGGGGAGGGAGAGAATGGGAGGGCCAGCGAGGGCGACGGGGGCCACCAGAGCGACAACCGGGCAGCGAAGCGCCGCCGCGAGGAGGGGGGCGGTGAGGAGGACGGTGGGATGGAGCAGAGCACGGTGGTGGAGGGGAGACAAGACGGTGATGTGATGGGAGAGGCAGGGGCAGCGGGCAGAGGGAGGAGGGAGATGGGTAGGCGGCAGAGGGGGGTGGCGGAGAGCATGGGCGAGGAGAGGAGGTACGTGGCAGCGAGGCCAGTGGCGGAGAGCAAGGGGCACACAGGGTACCTCACTTTCGCCGTCAAGCCCGTGTGACGCCCGTCACATGCGGGCTGTCGCCGCATGTCTACGGTAGCAGTGGTGACTCGCGGTTTCCAAGTGCATTGGCTCGGACGACAGTACTGCCATGCATGAAAACCAACCTCACAACACTCCAAAATTCTCGAGCTTGAACTGCCATGCCCCAGGACAAAAGTTTTGACCCGAGGTTTGTTCACGATTTTCCTGACGATGATGGTGCTTTAACCGTATCTAATTCACATCTGATTGTTTGTAGCCCACCACGTCAATCGCACTTTCAAGTTTTAACTATGGGACGGGACCGTACATTTGAAATGTGGGCGACTTCCGGTCAGGCCCCCAGAAGTCAGAAATTTCTCTGATTTGCTGGGCTGAAAAAAGCCCTTAGGATCTTTTGCAGGACTAAATTCAAGGTAGGATAGTGTAATAGCGGAAGCGTTGAATAAAGGATCTGTGAACCACCTTGCGCTAGTATGTGAGGGCAAAGTACGGTAGATTAATTAAAACAAAGAGATACAAGCCTTTTATAAGGATACGAGGAATATGAAGAGATACGGTTAATAACCGTTTTACTGTTGCTGTTGCGGTTCGATACAGTGTCGACTCGGGCAACTGCTCAGTAGCGAGTCAGTTGTTTGTCCTTGCTGTCGCGCTGTACTTGTCGGGTAAAGGTCGCTGACCTTTGACTTTCGCGTAATCTCCAGCAGTTGTTCAACCTCCGAGGGTTGACTCGCTGATGCTTCGATATGTTCTGCTTCGCTTCTGACTTGGTGTTTCGACACGATAGAAGCGCTTAGATCAACTGTTTCCAACACTCCCCTTCGCTTCTGGAGTGTCGCTGCTGGTGACGTGGCTTTGTCCAGTCAGCAGCATGCAGTACTCGAACTTCTGCTTCCCGAGCTTCTTGGTCAAGTAATCAGCTGCGGATGTGGGACAGTAAGACAGCTCAAGTCTCCCTTTCTCGATCTCGTCCTTTACGAAGAAATATCGCAGGGCGATATGCTTCGTCCTGTTCGCGAATCCGTTTTTGTTGGCTATGCGAATTGCCGACTGGTTGTCGCAGAACAAGGAGAAGTTGGGTAACTGAGCCAGCTTCGCCTCCTCCAGAAGTTCGCGAAGGTACAGTCCTTCCTTGGTGGCTGAGCAGAGTGCGATATATTCAGCTTCAGCTGAGGAAAGAGCGATTAATTCCTGCTTGCTCGATTGCCAGGAAATAGGTCCGATAGGTTCGAGGCGATAGAGGTAGCCGGTGCGTGAGCGTCTGTTGTCGGGATCGCCGGCGTGATCTGCGTCGACGTAGCCGACTAGTTTAGGTATCGTAGTCCCGTTTTTGTGGTAGGTTAGACCGACGATTGCGGTGCTGACGAGATAGTGGAGAGCATGGTCGAGTTCGGCCATGTGTTCTCCTTCAGGTCTCTTGAGATAGGTTGCGAGCTGGCTTGCGGAGTACGATAGGCCTGGACGACAAGTAACAGCTGCGAAGAGGAGGCATCCCAGCTTCCTCTGGTAGTTGCGTATGTCGGCGGATTTTAGTGGAGCGGATCCTTCCTTGTTGTTTCCTGTCGTGTAGCGGTATGGCGTAGAGATGGTGGTCGGCGTAAGTGAGAAGCGTTTGGCGATGGTGTCGGCGTACTTTGCAGCGTTGAGGTAGATCGCGTTTTCTTCTTCCTGAATGTTTAGGCCGAGATATTGCGTGATGGTAGATGATACTGTGAGCGTGAGGTCTTTCTGTAGCTCCCCTTCGAACCAGATAGTGACGTTGTCGGTCGACCCGATGTAGAGTAGATCGTCTACGTAGACGATTAATAGAATATAGTCGTCGCCTTTCGTAAGCCGGTACATGCCTTGGTCGTGCGGTAGCTGCCGGAATCCGATGCGAGTAAGTCGAGTGTGTAGGTACTGCTGCCATAGTCTCGGGGCCTGTTTGATACCGTACAATGACTTCAGCAGTTGACAGACGTGATTAGGTTCTCCGTTGGAGCCATGTGGTAGTTCGACGAAGATTTCTGCGTCAACTGGTGCTTAAAGGAATGCATTGGCAACGTCGATTTGCCGCAGTTTCTTTTTCTTCATGGCAACGATCGCGAGAAGAATTCGTAGTGAAGTGTGTCGGCTGACCGGGGCGAATGTCTCGGTGAAGTCACGTCCATGCTCTTGGTCGAAGCCGCGTACGACCCAGCGTGCCTTGAACTTGTCAATGGTGCCGTCTGCTTTCGTCTTCACACGGAAGACCCACTTCCCGGTGAGTATTGTCTTGTTTCGTGCCACGCCGATAGGGACAACTTTCCAGGTGTTGCGCTCCTTCAGTGCTTTCAAATCCTTGTCCATGGCTTCACGCCATTTTTCCCTATGCTCCCCCCCCAGAGCCTGCTGAACTGTGGTAGGCTCCTTAGGAGTTGCCGTGCCGTGGACCGCGGTTACTAGGCCAAGTATCTGGAGGCCACTCTGTGTGTAGCGGGGGAGAGTTGTGTCCGCGGGATAAGCTGCTTCGTCACCTATTTCAGTGTCAGGTATGAAGTTGGGTCCTGTGCGTTCTGCTTCGTTGGTGTTGACTTCTGCAGGTGCAACGTAACCGGTGTCGGCGAAGTCGAAATAAGTTTTGGCGTTGACGCTTTCGCGAGGATTGTCGTCGTCCATCGGGATAGGCACGGAGCAGTATGGGAGTGGTCCTGCTTCTTCCGAGGCGTTATCCACGTTCTGCTCGTCCCAGTCAGCTTCGTCTGCTGCTGAGGCGAAGTGTCGGTCACCACGGAAGTCACCTGTGGGATCCCGATCTTCTTCCAGGTTGGCAAGATACGTCGGAAGGGTGAGTCGTTCGTAGAAAATGACATCACGTGCTGCTACTGTTTCTTTGGAGTGGATGTCGAAAATCTTCCACGCGTTGTAATTTCTTTCGATGCCCAGGTGTAGTCCCCACTGTGCGCGTTGGGAAAATCGACCGGCTCGTGCAGATGGGGGTCGGTACTGTACCATGCAGCCGAAAACTCTTAACATTTTTGTGCTGCCCTGTTTTCCTGTCCACAGCAGGTGCGGTGATGCGTTGTTCGGTAGTGACGACGACGAAAGCAAGTTGTGCAGCATGACAGCGTGGTCCATCGCTTCAGGCCACTGGTGATTGGGCAGTCGCATGCCACGCAGTAATTTGCGCATGGTGTTCTGGAGAGTTCGATTCATCCTTTCTGCTACGCCTTGCTGTTGATGGGCGTAAGGAAGCGAGATGAGCCTCTTGATTCCTCTTTCTGCCAAGTACTGCTTGAACCTCTGTGAGGTGTATTCTCCTCCTCCGTCGGACTGAAAGCTTCTTAGTTTCATGCCCGATTCTCGTTCTGCTAATGGGAGCCAAGCGACGAAGGCCTCGAAAGCCATGTCCTTGCTCGGAAGGTTAAGGTGCCAAACGTAACGCGTAGCGGCATCGATGAACGTGATGGTGTAGCTGTATGCTCCTTGTCTAGGTTCGCGATTATACAGGATGTCGCTGTACACTTTCTCAAGTGGTGCGTAAGCTGGTGCGCTGGGGTTGTGGTGAGAAGCGAATGGTCGATGCGGTAATTCCGCTTCGGGGCAGGTAAATCACGTTCCACGGGCTCGTCGAAGTTCGCTTCCATCGGTTAGAAGCAGTGAATCTTTGTTGAGTACTCCTGCTCTGATTGTGTTGTTTAACACTGTGTTACTTGGATGTCCCATTCGTGCGTGCCAGATGTCTTCGCTAGCGCGATGTCCGGGTGAGCGACGATACAAGTCGGAGTTGGAGTAGAAGCTTGCGGTGAAATTTGCACTTCGATGTACTTCTCGTGGTGTTGGGTTAAGCTGTTGCGCAGGAGTCGGTGGAGTATCGTCGATTTGAGCCGATGCAGTTGAAGGACCAGCGATTGGTGTTGATGGTGCTGCTTTTGCTGCCGTTGTTTCTGCTGCTGCTGGTGTTGGTTCTGCTGCTGCCGAGTGTTGAATTGTTGCTAATGCTCTTGTTCGTTCTGCCTCAGGAATGGTGTGCGAGTACCAGAAGCCTTCTGGACTGAAGTTGGGGTCGAGATCCGGTGGATGTGTCCAGGAGGTGAAAGTGACAATCCCGTCGCTGTCAGTGGTGCCAAGATCTGGAACGAAGTCGAGGACGAAGATGTTGTTTTTCAGGACCGCCTTCCCGATGTAGAGACCGCCCTTTCCGTGGTAGAACTTGAACTCCTGAGTGGTGCTATTTGCTTCGAGGTGTATGCCCTTCGCCATCAGTTGACTGACGCTCAGTAAGTTGTAACCGAGCCCTTCTGCTATTAAAACCTTCGACATCTGCAGTATTGCGTTTGTTTCTCGTGACTGAAGTTGCACTACGCCTTGTCGTCGTGTGCGCAGATTCAGATTGTTGGCGACGGTGATGACGACCTCGCGTTGAAGTTGGTGTTCACG